AGATTGAAGTTGCCAAGGACTTCATTCTTTTGGGATAAACCATCAACACTCATGAAAGCAGCGGTCAAGAAATCAAACAACTTATTGCATTAGGCAAATCAGCTGCACAGGAACTTTTTAATGTGTTGAAGAGCAAAGATGTCAGCTTGAGGATTAAGCCATGATATTTTCAGTAACCTCTTTTGCATGCAAAAGCTGAACAGTGAATAAGGAAGACCATAGAAGAATTGATGCTTTTGAGTGATGGTGTTGGAGGAGAATATTAAAAGTGCCATGGGCTGCCAAAAGAACCAACAGATCTGTGTTGGAAGAAGTGCAGCCAGAGTGCTCCTTGGAGGCCAGGATGACCAAACTTGGTCTCTCATACTTTGGACATACTGTCAGAAGGGACCAGTCGCTGGAGAAGAATATCATGTTTGGTAAGATGGAGGGTCAGAGAAAAAGAGGAAGACCCCCAAGGAGATGGGTTGGCAAAGTGGCATCATCAATGGGCTCAAGCGTGGCAATAATTGTGAGGTTGGCCCAAGACCGGGCAGTGTTTTGTTCTGTTGTGCATAGAGTCACTATGAGTCGGTACCAACTTGATGGCACCTAAGAACAACAAGGACTAGTTCCCTCTGAAAGTTAGCATGTGGGAGGGGTGAGTTTGACCTGTGTGTGTCCTGCTAGGGGAAAGGCCTTGAGCTAGAACAGTGCCATCTAAAGTGCTTCTTGTCTGAGTGAGAGCACAGAAATGGAGAGTAAGCGCTCAGGAACGACCGTAGCACCGTGACATTGTCAGAATTGCCCAATGATGGCGTTTACTGAATTTTCTTGATTAATGGTTTGGTCCATGACAAATTAGAAATAAAAGGTGGGGTGAACAACTTAGTTCCTGACCCAAGATAGTCTGAGAAGTGACAAGATAGAATATATGACCTTCGGCTTACCAGAAAGAAGGCCTGAGCGTTTTTATTGTATCTTTTCATTCAACAAATATTTATTTGTAGAAAATCTTATTAATACATTAAACCTGTGGATTTGAGGTTAGTATTTCTTTGTCTCCAAGCATTGGATTATCTTTGAGTGTGCCAATGTTTTGAAACTACAAGGCCACTCCACATTTACCAAAGAAATGGCATTGTGTGAGGCCCAGGCATCCTCCTTGCTGGCCTCTCCCTGCCAGCATCCCGTCTGCTGTTCTGCTGTGTTTACGTTTCATTCTAGTACTGACAACTTGGGCAAGAAGCAAATCGCCAGTAACTGAAATCTTTTACCATAATATGAAAAATATTTACTTTAACAATGTAAGATAAGTCTTTTAATCCAAGATTACAGGATGGTTTTTCTTTGTTCTTTAGCCTAATTGTTTTCCTTTGACTTTTGTGAGTTAATAGCAGTTCAGTGTATTCATAAGGTGTTTTCCTGTTCATGAGAGAAATGTTCTCCCATCCAGGTATTAACCAGACCCGACCCTGCTTATTAGCTTCTGTGATCAGACAAGATCAGTCACATTCAGGGTGGTATGGATTTAGAGGAGAGATGGTTCTAAGTGAAGTAGTTCTAGTAAACACTGAACAGTAAAAGGCTAAGTTTAGAGAATAAAAAGGGTGGGGGGCAGATTTCAAGAAGGAAGGGAAGGAAGGGCAAGTATAATTAAGTTTGTTAGACCTTGGGCCAGTACTTAATCTTTGGGTCGTAATTTTCTCATATGATCAAATGGAAGCAATAATTATGATACCTTCTTGAAGGTATTGTGAAAAATTACATATTCTAAGTATATAGTATGGATCTTGGTACAGAAACTTTCAATCAATGTGTTACTATTACAGTGTTTGCTTTTCACTGCGTACCTCCTACTACATGTCAGGCACTGTAGAAACAGAGGTGGGGCCTCCACGCTCGAATGAGCAGCATTTGGTGGTAGTTTGGATGTGAGCTTTGGGAGAAGGAATTACTACTGGTACTCTAGCTTTGCTAACTGGGTCAGCGTGGTGTCTCTAAAGCACGAATTAAGACAGGGAGAATTGATTTCCCAGAGATATCTCATTGACTTTTGCGTTTCAGCTGTGGCCTATCCGTGTGAACTGTCTGGTGGGAAGTTGAAGGCGTACGTCCAAGTCAGGAGTGATGTGGGTCAGGACTTCAGTCAGAGGAATGCAGTGGAGGTAGATGACGTCACCTGAGGAAGGGGTTCAGATAAAGAGAGCCGTGTGTTCACAGGGCTGGGCATGTTTGGGCAGATGAAACATGTCAAGGGCACTGTCTCATTTAAACCTCGAAAGAACCCTATGAGATAGAAAACAGAACCTTAATTTTTGCAGGTGACAGATTTCCAAGCTCAAAAGAGTGAAGCAAAACAATTAGCTCAAGGTGACTTTGTTAATTAAATGGCAGAGCTGGGATTTCAAACCCAATCTGTATAATATCAAAGCCTATATTTTTCTTCCATGCCCTGCTTCTTTGTCAACATCAGAAATTTAATTATACAGGTACCTTTAATTCTTTGTTTACCTCTACCAGTAACCTAGCTTTGTGAGCTTGTAGCACATCCTTTTAAATAGCCACCTTTTCTCTGATTTCTCCTGCTTGCATCCCACACATATCTATCAGATTTACTTTTCCTATCATATGGATTTATCCTGTTCAGCTCTCTACCAGTGTCTGCGTTAGAACAACAGACCCACACAGTCCTCCACTGGCTACAGGAGAAGGGCTGGTCTCTCAGCATGGCTCGTCACAAAATCATGGCCTCTGTTCAGTAACTTCCCATAGTTCCCACTTCTCACCAGCCCATATTCATGCCTTTGAGTGCCATCATGCGAGTTCCTGGTGGTGGTCTCAACATTCCTTATAAGGATCTTATTTTAATATTGAGACTAAATACTTTACTCTTACGTTTACTCTGATACCAGCTTTCTAAAAATAAGTTTATCTTTGCAATGGAAGCGGCTTGGAGAACAATTGACCCTGGATTCCCAGTGTAAGAGGTCATTGTGCCCTATTGGTAATTTGGTGAGCCAGCCTCTGCTTCTACACTTTTCTAGAAGGATCCTCATTTTGAGGGAAGAAGTGGAGGACAATTCTGTTAGAAATTTCCTACTGTTGAGTCAGAGTTTCCCATCTGTTAACATCCATTTGTTTCCCAAGATTTGCCCTTGGGATGGCAGTGGAGTCCGCTCTGTTTCCTCTGCCTCATGAAGGTCCATCAGACACTGAAAGTCAGCTTTCCTCTGGCTTCTCTTACGTAATCCGGATAATTTTGTTTGCTTGGAGCTTTTCTCCTGTGACAGGTCTCAAGTTCTAGCTCCCCCTGAGAATTCTGCCATTTTGCCAGTGCCCCATCTAAAACTAATGGCTCTGAACAGAACACAGAGCCCCACAGGCTCGAACAGTGTCACCCTTGACTGGGACTCCGTGCTTCAAGCCTCCAGTTGCTCCAGTTTTATCACAGCCTTGTCACATTTTGCATTCATTCAGTCAGAATACCCCGATTCTTACTTGTATTGTTGGAAGCTAACTCTTTTTTGTAGTTGGTTTTCTTTTATCTAAATATCATCTTCATCATGGCCCCCACCCCAAGATTCTACTGTCCAGTGTGGTGGTTGCTGTATTTCTCAGTTTTAGCTCAGCTGGAGATTTTGAGGCGTAATTTCCTCATCTTCATTCAAGTTCTTAATAAACGTGGCAAAAACAGAGGCTCCCATACACCTTCAAGTTAATCAGTGCTTATGAATGGTACTGGTAGCCATTGTTCTGCCGTTTTTCTCCCATCTCTGCTTCTTACCTGCAGGGACCTCATTCGTACATTCAACAGGTGTTTAATTAGCGCTTCCCATGTGTAAGATAGGTGCCCGAGGCACCATGAAGACAACAATCACAGGCTTTCTGAAGCGAGGAGTCTGGTGACATCACAGAATACTTTGTTAAATGCTTTCTAAACTCGAGCTGCATAGTTATCGGTAATATTTTCCCTGATATGGGATCATATCAGAAAAGAACATGAGGCAGTACTTTTTGTAGTCTCCACATTGGCTACTGGTGAACAGGAGACTCCCGCTTCACAGTCACTTGAGCATAGATGGCCCTGGAGTTTGGTGATGCATCTTTCAAAGCTCTGAGCTCATCACAGGGCAGCCTGGATAGCCATGGCTTTGCTGCTGCTGCTGTTTAAATTCCTCGTCTTTGCTCACATTCCCAGAATGGTTTCTTTTACAGTAACTTTGTTGTAAATAATTTCTTTCCAACGTCCACCCTTTTCCCTTCCACCATCTTTGTCATCAGATTTTGCTTACATCATAAAGTTTGTGGGGAAATTCTATTGTCTTTTCATTCAGTTTTTCTACGAACTCTTTGAAACCCCCTTGTGTTTTGAAATGATCTCTCCTGAAGAGAATTGCTGGCTACCCTCAAATCTTTTTTTCACTTCTGCACTTTTAAGACACCATAGTCACTTTCTCCAAGATCCTGGTCTTTTTAAGCCACTTATTTCTTTTTGTTTACCAGAATTAAGCCCAATGTGAGCATAAAAACTCAGTGTTTAGTCTGTTTCCTGAGGTATTAAGCTATCAATAATACAAGATGATATTTTTTACTATGATTACACTTAGAGTCGATGTCTTCATAGTTGGCAGCCAACTGTCTTTCCAGGTCTGCATTCTTTTCATCAGTCCAGTGTTACCTGTCTCCTTCCTCTGACTGGCCATTTCCCACAACTGTATCATTTCTACCTACTCTTTCCTCTTTGGATTTGCACATAGATGTTTGTTTTCTTGTCTAATTATGAGGATTCCCCTCCAGTTTCTGTGGATCCGATTCTGTAGACTGGTAGATTTCCTACGGAGGTCAGAGTCTACTGTTACCCCATCCCACCAAGTCTTGGTGATTGCCATGAGATTTTATTTATCTACTTGAGTCCCTTTTTACTATTGCGACAACTTTTACGTATAGTGCTTAGCACAATGATGTTCAATAAATAATATCTATGCTTAATCTCAAGAAGTATTTGCCTTCTCTTTTAGGCTGTGAGGATATCATTGCTGAGAGCATCTCATTAGATACCTTAATTGCCATCCTCAAGTGGAGCTCGCACCCATATGGCTCTAAGTGGGTGCACCGGCAAGCTTCCCATTTCCTCTGTGAGGAATTTTCCCAGGTCATGACTTCGGATGTTTTTTATGAACTCAGCAAAGACCATCTCCTTACTGCTCTCCAGTCTGACTACCTACAGGTAATCATTTCTGCATCCCTCAGCTTCATTACCATTCACATCTGTACCCGATTAGTCTTCCATCTAGAGGAAGGTAAGGGGAGAGAACACCCAGGGGTGCCCTCTGCAGATTCATGCAGCTTTGCTCACTGGCCCTTCGTGTCCATTGCTGCTCCACACTGGGACCAAGCTCAGGTCCTAGTCAGCTGCTACACCACAAAGAGGCTGAGGCAGCAGGCGAGAGCAGAAACACAGCCAAGTAGTGGTTTTCCTGACTTCCGTGAATGTAGATTCCGAATCGCTGTCTCTCTCCTGCGTCGTGCAGAGTCAGACGCTTAGGCTGTAGACAGTATCTTAAGTAGCACAAAGTAAGACTAGAGCTCCATTTCCAAGCTACTTTAGTGAATAGTTAAAACTCACTGTATGTGCTCTACCAAAGTAGAACATTTTCAGCTATATTTAAGAAAATTCGTGTGGCCTTGTGTTGTATTGACAATATAGTTTGGTGTTTTAAACTAAAAATAACTTTCAAATGTTACAAAAGAGTATTTTCAGGTAGAATGTGTTTAAGCTTAATTTTTTTTTTTTTTGCACTGCCTGATACCACTTTGGAATTAAAAGTCGTATAACAGTTTTAATACAATGAAGACATAAAACCATTGAACCAGTTCTTATTTTTCCTAGAAAAGTGATAAAATGCTACGATCTCAGTCAGACATTCAGTGGTGGATTAAATAATCTACTCGTCACCTTCTGAGAGTTGGGGCTTTGTCAGTTCTCTGAAATTACTGTCTTGGAGATCTTTGCATTTCTTCTTTGAACGTGAAAGACTTGGAGAGCAGTCCCTTGCTCTAAGTTTTTAAATAAAGTACGAAGAGAAGTGCATTGCTGTTCCACAGACAATATTTGAAGGATTGTAGCCAATCTGTGGACTCCAAGTGTGACACTGTAGCATCACCTCTGGACTGCAAACCATAAGGTCAGCAATTCAAACCCACCAGCTACTCTTTAGAAACCCTATACAGGGTCACTATGAATCGGAACTGACTTGAAGTCGCTTAACAGCAATAGCAAGCCAATCCGTGGAATCCCTTCTGCCAAAGCTGGGGAGGAGCCAGATAGGCTCAAGTTGCCATACTTCCTCTGCCTTTGTGGGAAATGCTAGACTCTCTATGATGCTGTGCTTTTGCTTTCATTTCTTTATCTCCATCTCCATCTTAAATGAACTTAAGATTGGGGAAGAGATCAAGATAAAGAAAAAATACAAATAACATTGAAAGTTTCATTGGAGCCCAGAATGAGATGAATGGATAAAGCACATGTAATTAGGTCCTGTTTATTTACTGTTAGTGTACGACAGATTTAAATCTAAACTTTCAAACACCAAAGTAAATAGTAAAACAGAGTAAGCTGCATGCTATGTACTATGTGTATAGTATGAGTTAGGAAAAGTGATTAATGAAATTAACCATATGTGCAATTTTACTAAAATTAACATAAACCATTTTCTGTTACAGGCAAGTGAACAAGATATCCTTAAATACCTGATGAAATGGGGAGAGCATCAGCTGATGAAAAGAATAGCAGATAGAGGTAAGCTTAAACAGTTCGACTGCGCTGTAAGTTTTGGGTGATTCTTACATTTCCAAATGCTTACTGAAATACATAGTGCATATAAGTCCTGAAAATAGACACATTTGCCTGTTGTAAATAAGAAATCTTTGCAATCAGGAAAATCTTCTAGTGGAGAGGATGTGGTGTATTAGAAATGTGTACATTGGAAATTTTCATTTTGCAATTTTAAAAAGATACCTTTTGTCTGTTTCTGTATGCTTAAAATATGTGTTGATGGATTCACAGATGTGTCAGATTAAAGTGGTACTAAAGTGTGTTGTTGAAGAAAATGTTTTGGAATATAGGCCTGAACAGCTGTGGGAAGAGAGTAGGAGTAGACCCACAAACATCAGTAGGTTTGACAGAGGATATTTGTACGTGGGCATTTGCCTTTGCTACAAACATATCCATGAATGTGGTAGAGCATACAGGGAGTAAAGTTATGAAAACTTCTTAGACATATGAGACACCTTGAGGAAATGAATCAATGGCCCTGGGTTCTCAGGACCAGCCCCAGGGGACGAGCATGTCAGGTGATGTACAATAGTCCACAAAGACAATGGTCCCCATCCTACATTGGTGAATTGTGACTAGAATCGTCAAAACTTGTGAGCAGTCATTTCAGATGCTGCTACTGGTCTCTCCCTGTCCTGAGGAAAGAATAGGGATTTAAGTCAAAGATACATGGAAACAACCAATCCGGTGGACTGAATGACCATCAGTCTCCACATCCCCGCCACCAGAAGAACTGGGTGATACCAACTACCACCACCAACTGCTCCGAAATGGGGGTGGGGGTGGGGTGTCACATTAGAAGGCCCTGGACAGAGGGGATGAGAAATGTGGAACAAAATGCAAATCCATAAGAAAAAAGACCAGGCAGATTGGTCAGGCAGAGACTGGTGGAACCCCGGGACTCTGACCCTTTGTCACCCTCTAGGTCCGGAAATGATCAGTTACCAGCCAACCAACAGACGGTCCTATGAGAGGGCTGCAGCAGCACTAGGGAGATATGCACACCTTAGAATAAGCCTGCATTTGAGATCAAAAGGGCAGCGTTTAGCCAAGGACAAAGTGCAGAAGGGTTAAGAAAGGAGGAGGAACAGAAACAGGAAACGAAGGAAGGAAGTGGAATCAGTGAGGTTTCATCGTGGGGATTTCAATCAGTGAGATGAAATGAAGTGTATGAATGATTGAAGCTAAAAATGATGGGTGGTCTGTTCTGTAAATCTTCACCCAATTCACAATAAAAAAAATTTTTTTTTTAAATGTTCTGACGTTACAGAGTGGTGATGGTTGCCCAACATTATGGCTGTAAGGACTGAGAGCCACTGGATTATATATATATATGTTTAAATGGTTAAAAGAGTAGATTTTGTGTTATGTAAATTTTGCCTAAAAAAACCATGAATACAAAAACAATAGCATATTGTTATTTTCAAATTTTATGATAAATGAAGGCAGATTCATCCTTTGGATTGGTTCTCATCTGGAGGAAGATTCCCAAGCATCCTGTGTGAGCGAGTGGCCTTCAGCCTGAGGAGCTTCTGGTCCTCCAACCACCTTTTGTATATGCTCCTGGATATGAGACCCAAACCAAAGAATTTGAGTTTTTAAAAAAAAAAGTAGTGATTTTCCTTGTCACATTAGCCAGATACAGTTTTGTTGGTTGTTTAATGCTGTTGAGTCTGTTCCAACTCATAGTGACCCTGCATACGATTTCCATGGAGTGGCTGGTGAGTTAGAACCACCGATCTTGAGGTTCAGACTGACGTTTCAGTCCAGTGCTTATCCTACAGCGCCACACTGGGACTCCAAATCTAACATGGCACCGCCTTATATAAGTATGAAGCCAAATCATAGGAAGGCAAGGAAAACAAATACCTTTTCCGTCTACTTGCCATACTTTTATTTTGAATGCCACTGGACAAAGCTTGGCTTCTCAAAAACAATCCCTCTTTACATATACATGTGACACATGATCCAAGTCAAAAACAATCCACATGTGACACATGATCCAAGAGAAATACTAGTTTGCCTGTGGAGGGTTTTTAAGAAAAGGAAAAAAACAAACAGTGCTTACTTTCATGAATGATTAACATTGTTATTTGGTGATAATTATTGTAAGGAAAAATCTATAACCCCTGGATTAAAATATGATTTCCAGAACTTAAGTCATTTTTATTCCTACCTCAACATCATCGGCATATCTATACTTGACATCTTCCCCTTTCACGACTCCCCGGCGAAGAAAGTTTTATTCTTGGCACTGGAAAGTGGAAATATATTGCATGTCAGAGATCAGAAGTTCACTTCTGTGTGGTAACACTGTCAGTATATGGAAATCTAGGAGACAACCATACAACTTTTGGCACTAGCTAGCAAGAGCACACATTAGGTTTTGCTGCTCTGGACAAGTGATTGTCGTCTTATAAAATTGCTGTCAAACATGTGGTCACTTAAGGAGAATACCAGTAACCTACAGTGACCAGCAACAGTGTATGTCCTGGCCACAAACATGACGAAGCGTAAGAAAAAGCCCCCTCAAACTAGATTTTGATAAATCGTCTTCTTATCTCCTCAGGAGTGTGAGCCTACAGAAAAGACTAGGGCCAGACAGGCACAAAAGGCCTAACTGTAATGTTGAAGCCATGCTTCTTCTTAGTCCAAGAACACTTCTGACATAAGTAAACAGCTTCCAGAATAAAAACATGTATAACCTTTTTTTCAAAGTGTATGTATACGAGTATACAAAAGAAAGCAAGCTTTGCTCTGGAAACTTGGATTTGGTTGAAATGTTTCATTTTCTACCTTGCAGAGCCCAATTTACTGAGCGGCACTGCTCATAGTGTGAGCAAGAGAGGTGTAAAGAGGCGAGACCTGGATGTCGAAGAGCTCAGAGAGATCCTTTCTTCTCTCTTACCTTTTGTGCGGATCGAGCACATCTTGCCTGTAAGCAGTGAGGCCTTCAGTGATGCCGTAAGTGCCTTCATCTACGCCCCCACACACACACCCCCATCCTGAAAGGAGATGTGACCGCTTCTCTTGTTTGGTAATCACTGTCAGTAACTTTGTTACAGTAACTCGTGTGCTGCCGAACTCTTAAGTTCCATGTAAACAGATACAGGGATGGTTTTGTGCAATATTGTGTCCCAAATGTCTAGCACATAGAAGGAAAAAAAGTTCAGCAATCCAAATATCAGTGAGTGAATTGGTCTTGCCTTTGGCAGGAGCATAGTTCTCACTTAGTTCAGTCACTTGCCAGTGTTAGCCGAGTATACCTTCTTCAAAAAGGAAATGATAAACGTTATCTTTGGAGACCCTTCAAGAGCAGCAATAAATCACTTAGTGTAGAAGGGAGGGTAGGGTGTGTGTCCCATGTCAACAGGATGAATAAGTCTTGGGATTCTGTTTCATACCCAGTCAAAAATGAATGGAGCTGATCATGTTACTTCTATAATTTAAAAGGATTAAAAGCCTAGTAAAATTTGAAAATAAATATAATTAACGTTCTTCAAAGTTGGCTTGTAAACTGAATGGACTTCTTGTAAGTATTATAATACACTTTTAAACCATATAGAAACTTTGTAAAAGTCATCTTGAAATATAAACTGATGGAGGTTTTTTGTTTGCTTTTTTTAAGTTCTTTATAAAGGCCATAACAAAGGAGGGACTAGCTCTTCTCAGATGTAAAATATACTTTAGAAACTATGATGCTAGCGTAACAGACAAGATGAAATCGTCCAGAAAAATCCTGATATAAGATTCAATGTCTAACAAAGGCAGTATCGCAAATCATTGTGGGGCTAGGTTAACTGATTAGCCGGAAAGGGGGAAATTCACTTAATGTTCACCCCTCATCTTACTTGCACACAAAATTAATCCCTGTTAGATTGGAGAATTAAATATTTAACTGAAGCATGGGGAAAACAATTAAATATTTATGGAATCTCTGATTTGAGGGAAAAGAAAAATGTTCTGGCTACAAGTAATCACACCAAATATAAGACAGTAAGTTTTAATACATCACCTATGACGCCAGTAATTTTTGATATAATATCTTTACTCCTCAGGAGAAGTCCAGCTGGTCCGTTGGGAGCATTGGTGATTGGCATAGTTCAGATGGTACCAGTACTCTAGTATTGTTGTGTATGCTGTTGAATCAGTTGTAACTTATAGCAACCCTGGGCAGGGTTTCCAAGAGTAGCTGCAAGGTTTGAACTGCCAACTGTGTGGTTACCAGTCCAGTGCTTATCCTGCAGTGCCACACCAGGGTGTTATTAAGAGCCATCAAAATGTTCCTATGTTAATCTGGTGGTCCAATTTTGAATGCTGCTCTTAAGAAGTCATTCCAAGTACAGAGTCATGGTGTGGCTCTGTGGGTTAATGTGCTGCGCGGCAAGGTTTGATTTGTACCACGAGGTCGGTGGTTCCAGCTTACCAACTGCTCCTTAGAAACCCTACACAGGGTTGTTATGGGTCAGAACCGACTCAACAGCACTTAGCAACAACATATATGTATGTATGTGTGTGTGTATGTATGTATGTATGTATGTATGTGGAGCTCTGGTAACCTAGTGGTTACTAGTCAGACTGCTAACCTCAAGGTCAGCAGTTCGAACTACCAGGTGTTCCACTGGAGAAAGATGAGACTTTCTTCTCCTGTAAAGATTTACATCTTGGAAACTCTATGGAGGGTCGCTTTGAGTTGGAACCAACTCCACGGCACATAACAACAACAACAAATGATACTATATTTAATCAGTTAAAAATAATTTTAACTAATGTAGCAATCAGATGCTTATTATATTTAGCAGTGTGATACTGTAAGATAAGCAGTAGACTGCTAACCACAAGGTGTGCTGTTCAAACCCACCAGATGCTCCTTGGAAGCCCTGTACAGCATTGCTGAGTCAGAACTAACTCGACAGCACTTAATTGGCAAAGGAGCCCTGGTAGCACAACAGGCACGTGCTTGGCTACTCACTGAAAGGCTGGAGATTACGTCTACTCAATGACTCTGCAAGGAAGAGACCTAGCAGTGAGCCCCTGGTAACTACAGCCTAGAGAGCTCACAGCGCAGGTCTGTCTGTCACATGGAGGTGCTGAGAACTGGGATCAGCTCCATGGCACCTCACAACAATATCCATGAAACAATTTTGATTTTGTTTCAAACCTGCATCTCAAACAAAATTGAACCCTAATTAGATTTTTAAAATATTTTAGAACTTTGGTTTAGTAGTCTTAGAAAATCGCTATCTCCCCTCTTAATTCCATGCCTAACATATAATCCTCAGTAGAGGTTTGCTAAGAATGCAAAACTGATGATCCTGCAAACACAGCTATGAATGGAGTGGAGCAGACAAGCAGTCAAAATGATGGAAACTTCTACTATATCATCCAACAAGGTAATGAGTTGCTGAGCCTAGGGCTTGAGGACCATAATCTCAGGGAACACTGTGGTCAGCCTACTGTGGTGAGTAGCATCTGGGATCTTAAAAGCTCATGAGCAGCCATCTAAGGTTGGAGGAGAATGTTGGTCTCTCCATGTGCGGAAGAAAAGAGAGTGATGAGAACTGAAGATGTCTGCAATCAATTCATCCGATAAATAATGAAACATAGGAACTTCTGTCTCCATGACTCAGAGACGAGAAGAACTTGCCACTACCAACTACTCTGAAAGAGATCAGTTCCTGGATAGAGTAGGAGAAAATGTGGCACAAACCTCAAAACTATTTAAAAAATAAATAAATACCAGGCTTACTGATTAGAAAGAGACCGGAGGGTCCTGAGACTGAGGCCCTCGACCACCCTGCTGGTCTGCAAAGGAACTCACCCTCGTGGCCCAGTTTTCAGCCAAGCAGTAGATAGGTGTATAGAGAGGACAACAACATTAGTAAGATATGCCCACTGAGGATTGATCAACCGTTCAAAGCCAAAAGAACAACATGTCCCTAAGGACAAAAGTTGAGAAGGGGAAGGTGGGTGGAACAGAAACAGGAAGCTCAAGGAGGAAGCAGGATAACTGTTGTTGTAGGGAGAAGAATGTAATCATTGAAATGCAACCAAGTGTGTGATTTGTGGAATGTAAAACCAATGATCCTGTCTATAAACCCGCACTCAATTCACAATAAAAAGTTTTCAAGAAGAAAAGACTGGCTGTGAACCTTAGGCTCTATTAAGGTGCACTCTCTGCTTTTGCTACGTGAACTTTATTTGATCCTCACACCCACACTATGAGCAGTAGGCACTTGATTGTTCTTCTCATGGTATAGATGAGAACTGCAGAACCACTGCATTCGTTCATGTGGACTGTACCTTATCTGTAGGACCAGGCCATGCATGAACCATTGAGGTGAGTGAGACCCAAGTGGTCACATGACTGTTCAGTGGGGAGTTAGGTTTAAGTCCCCTAGAGCATGTGCTCCTGTAGCCATGAAAGCCCTTTATCTTTGTGCGATAGCCTAGGTTCAGGTTAATGTTTCCATTTTGTTGGAAGGCATGCAGTCAGTTCCTGTTTGATCTCACAGGGTTGACTGTTTTAATGAGTGCTTACCTCCCTTGTGTTATTGTTCAGTAATTTGTATCTTAGTCGTATTAATATTTGTCCACATCTGTAGCTCTGTTCTAACGTTTTTGTTTCTTTGCTTTTAAGTTGAAAAGAGGATTGATAAGTACTCCTCCATCAGATATGCTTCCTACAACAGAAGGAGGAAAGTCAAATGCCTGGTTACGTCAGAAAAATGCTGGTATATATGTTCGTCCTCGGCTCTTCTCCCCCTATGTGGAAGAAGCGAAGGTAATGAAAACCACTTTAGGACATCAGACTACTCTGTTACAAACTATATGTAGAACGATGTTTATAGTGGTATTATTTAAATATTTGGAAATAGCTTAAACAACCAGTAATACAGAAAGTAAAAGTAAAGCATTGTTTGCCTACAACAGAACAGTTTTAGGAAATGTTGAATTACTCAACATGCTTTTAAAGCTTAAGTCATGCATGTTAAAACATAGTTTACATTTTTCTCACAGTAGTGACCTTGTAAGTTGTTAACTTGGGAAGGGAATATCTTTTAACCAAATGGCTGTATTTTGTGGTCTTATGCATGGGGGAAATGTTCTAAGTAGATTTTTCACAAATTCAAAATTTGTGTTCTTCGTAAACTTAAAGAAATGCAGGGCTTCTTGTAACCTATTTATGTAATAGCCAACTATTCAGAATTGCGTTCAATTTTAGAATAAGTGTTCAAACTAAGACAAAATTTAATGTTTATTAGATGCCTTCTAACATGGGGTCCTTAGGTTGGCCTTTTGAGGAACTCACAGTCTTTGAAAGAAAGCATCATTAAGCTTTCTGAAGCAAATGTAAGGGACAAAATAATTTAGGTGTACAATGAAGTTGCCTTTTTAAATTCTCATTTTATTATCAAGAATTTCTAGTTTATATTTACAACAGTGAATAAAAGAGTTGTTGTTGTAGGTGCCATCAAGTCAATACCGCCTCATAGTGACCCTACGCACCACAGAACGAAACACTGCCCAATCCTGCACCAACCTCACAGTCGTTGATACACCTAAGCCCATTGCTGCTGCCACTGTGCCAGTCCATCCCGCTGGGGGTCTTCCTGTTTTTCCCCAACCCTCCACTTTTCCAAACATGATCTCCTTCTCCAGGGATTGGTCCCTCCTGATAGCATGTCCAAAGTATGAGAGACGAAGCATTCCGGCTGTACTTCTAACACAGATTGGTTTATTCTTTTGGCAGTCCATGGCATGTTTCATATTCTCTTCCAACGCCATAATTCAAATACATCAGTTCTTGTATGGTCTTCTTTATTCACTGCATCTGAGGTGACTGAAAATACCCTGGCTTGCATCAGGCGCACTTTAGTTCTCAAACGGACATCTTTGTTCTTGAACACTTCAAAGAGTTTTTGTGCAGCAGATTTGCTTAATGCAATACGTTATTTGATTTCTTGACTGCTACGTCCATGAATGTTGATGGTTAATCTGAGCAAAATGAAGTCTGTGACAACTTCAATCTTTTCTCCATTTATATGGATGTTGTTTATTGGTCTAGTGAGGAGGACTTTTGTTTTCTTTACATTGAGGTGCAACCCATGTCGAAGGCTGTGGTCTTTGATCTTCATCAGTAAGTATTCTAAGTCCTCTCCACGTTTCAGCAAGCAAGATTCTATCAGCTGCGTATCGCAGGTTGTTACTGTCATCTTCCAATCCTGATGCCATGTTCTTCTTCATCTAATCCAGAATCTTGGATTATTTACCAACAGACAGACTGAATAAGCATGGTGAAAGAATACAACCCTGGCACACACCTTTCCTAAGTTTAAACCACCTTGCTCCCCAAATAGGAACCTTAAGGAGGATGAGTCCTGTTGTGGCACCATGAGTAAGTACTGAACTGCTAACCAAAAGGTCGTGGTTCAAACCCACCAGCTGCTTCTCGGAAACCCTCTACAGTGTTGCTCTGAGTCAGAACCAACCATATTTAATAGCAACAGCAAGTGTACAGCAATAGGCCTTTCCCCCAAAGAATTCTGTGCTCTTCAGTTGACACCACATCAAAATGGCAGTTTGAGCATCCTCAAGGGATGTGCCTTTTAAATGTTCTTTTCGTTTGGAGAAGCAAAAGACATCTGAATGGGTAAGATCTGGGCAAGTCTCAGTTCTCTAGTGCTGCTGTAACGGAATACCATAGGTGGATGGCTATAACAAAGAGATTTGTTCTCCCCTAGTTTAGGGGTTACAAGTCCGAGTGCAGAGCGCTGGCTCTGGAGAGAGGCCCTTGTCTCCTTTAGTGTCTGTAGGCCTTGGAGAGCTCCCTGTGTTCTGGCATCAGTCTCTCTGAGGTCAAAAGGTGTCCTTCATTTCTTCTTTCTTGGTGGTGGTTCCCCTTTCTTGGCTCACTTCTCTCTTTGTAAGATAATAGCTTTTGCAGACCACACTGCTGGGAAACTCTCTTACATGAGATCAGGGTTGTGATGGGACTAAGGTACTGTTTGTTGTTGTTAAGTGCCTTCTAGTCAGTTCTGACTCATAGTGACCGGTATAGGGTTCCTGAGGAGCGGCTGGTGGGTTTAAACTACCACCATGTGGCTCAAACTGACTTTGCGTTCCAGCCACTATCCTGCAGCAGCACACCAGGATTCCCAAGATATTATTGTTGTCATTAAGTGCCAGCAAGTCAGTTCTGACCCATAGTAATGCTGTATAGGGTTTCCGAGGAGCAGCTAGTGAGTTTGAACCGCCAACCTTGCAGTCCAACGCATTAACCCACAGTACCACCAGGACTCCAGGGGTGTGGTAGTCCACCCTTAGTCCTTTTATCACAAGGAATCCTCACATAACTGCCATATCGCATCCTGGTTGTTGTTTCCGGCTCACGCACAACAGAACCAAACACTGCCATCCTTACAATTGTTACGGCACTTGATCCTGTTGCTGCCACCACTCTGCCAATCCATCCTATATAATGTTCCAGCACCATAACTCACATGCATCAGGTCTTCTACAATCCTCTTTATTCACTGTCCAACTTTCACATGCATATGAGGTTGTTGAAAATACCATGGCTTGGGTCCAGTGCCACCTTAGTGCTCAAGCTGAATCTTTGTTCCTGAACTCATTAAAGAAGTCTTGGGCAGCAGATCTGCCTAATGCTGCTGCTTCTATGAGTGTTGATAGTGGATCCAAACAAAATGAAGTTTTTGACAACTTTAACCTGTCCTCTGTTTAGCTGGTCCAGTGGAGAAGATTTTTGTTTTGTTTTGTTTTGTTTTTTTTACATTAAGATGCAACCCTTACTGAAGGCTGTGGTCTTTGTTCTTCATCAGTAAGTCCACTTCACGTTCAGCAAGCAAGGTTGTATCACCTGCATATTGAAGGTTGCTAATGAATCTTCCTCCAATGTTCTTCTTCATATAATCCAGCTTCTCAGTACTTTTGCTCAGAATACAGATTGAATAAGTATGGTGAAAGAATACAACTCTGATGCACACCTGTCCTGATTTTAAACCATTTGATGTTCCCTTCTTCCATTTGAATGGCTGCCTCTTGCTCTACGTACATGGTCTGTGTGCACATACCCATTCTCAACAATGTTGTCTATAACTTGTCATGTTATACACAGTCTAAAACCTTTGCATAATCAATAAAGCACAGTAAACCTCTTTTCTGGTATGATCTGCTTTCAGTCAACATCTATCTGATATCAACAATGGTATCCCTAGTTCCACATCCTCTTCTGAATCCGGCTTAAGTTTCTGGCAGTTCTCTGTCAGGGTAATGTTGCAGCTGTCTTTCAGTTATCTTCAGCAAAATTTTACTTGCATATAATATTAATATTGTTCAATGATTTCTGCATTCCATTGGGTCACCTCTCTGGAATGGGCATAGATATGCACCTCTTTTAGTCATTTGGCCAGGTAGCTGTCTTCCAAATCTCTTGGCATAGATGATAGAATGCCTCCAATATTGCATTAGTTTGTTGAAAGCTTTCTATTTGTTTTCTATTAATTCCCGGGGCCTTATTCTTTGCCAGTGTCTTCAGTGCACCTTGGACTTCTTCCGTCGGTATCATTGATCATATGCTACCTCTTGAAATGGTTGAACATCGACCATTTCTTTTTGGTACAGTGACTCTTAATTCCTTCCATCTTCTTTTGATGCTTTCTGTATCATTCAGTATTTTGCCCACAGAATCCTTCAATATTTCAAGTTGCATCTTGAAATTTTTCTTCAGTTCTTTTAGCTTCAGAAATGTTGAGTATGTTCTTCCCTTTTGGTTTTCTAACTCCAGGTTTTTGCACATTTCATTGTAATACTTGACTTTGGCTTCTCAATATGCCCTTTGAAATTTTCTGTTCAGTTCTTTTACCTCCCCACTTCTTCCATTTGCTTTAGCATCTCTACGCTGGAGAGCAAGTTTCAGTGTCTCTTCTGACATCCATTTTGGTCTTTCATTTCTTTCTTGTCTTCACAATGACCTTTTGTTTTCTTCCTGTGTGATCTTTTTCCTGTGTGATCGTCTTCCTGTGTAATCTTCTTCCTGTGTGATCTTCTTGATGTTACCCCACCACTCATCCAGGCTACGATCATGCACTAAAAGTCTCTAAACTCAAATGGGATATGTTTACAGTCATATTTTAGTATCCTTGGATTTGTTTTAATTTTCTTCTGTCTCACCGAAATTGCATTTGAACAATTGATTGTCTGTTCCAGTCTGCATCTAGCCTTATTTTAGCTAATAATATTGATCTTGTCCACTGTATCTTCTGACAGATATAGACAGTTTGATTCCTGTGTATTCCATCTGGTGGTGGTGGTGGTGGTGTTAAGTGCTATCGAGTCGGTTCTGACCCATAGCAACCTTGAACAGGGTTTCCAAGGCTGTAAATTTTTACAGGAGCAGAAAGCCTCATCTATCTCCTGCGGAGCCGCTGGTAGTTTCGAACTGTTGACCTTGTGGTTCGCAGCCTGATTTGTAACCACTATGCTACCAGAGCTCCTTATTTCCACGTATATAGCTGTCTTTTATGTTGTTTTAAAAAAAGTATTTGCAAGAAATAAGTCATTGGTCTTGCAGAATTCTGTCAGGCATTCTTCAGTGTCATTTCTGTCACCGAGGCCATATTTTCCAACTTCTGATCCTTCCTCTTTGTCTCCAACCTTTGCATTCCAATCACCAGTAATTTTCAATACATCTTGATTGCATGTTTGATCAATTTTGCACTGAAGAAGTTAATAAAATACTTCAATTTCATCATCACTGACTTTAGTGGTTGGTGCATGTATTTCAATAATAGTGATATTAACCAGTCTTCCTTGTAGGTGTATAGCTATTATCCTATCTCAGACAGCGTTATATTTCAAGATATCTTAAAATGCCCTTTTTGATGGTGAATGAGACACCATTCCTCTTCATCATTCCCAGCATAGTAAACCATATGATTGTCATATATGAAATGGCCAAGACCAGTCCATTTCAGCTCACTTAACACCTAGGGTATTAATCCTTATGTGTTCCATTTCTTTTTTGACAACTTCCAGTTTTCTTAGATTAAAACTTTGTATAGTCCATGTTCTGATTATTAATGGATGTTTGCAGCTGTGTCTCCTCATTTTGAGATATGCCTTATCAGCAAATGAAGGTCTTGGAAGCCTTACTCCATTCCTGTCATCACAGTCAGCTCCGCTTTAAGGAGGCAGCTCTTCCCCAGTTGTATTTTAAGTGCCTTTCCCCTGAGGGGTCCATCCTCCTGCACTGTATCTGACAGTGTTCCACTGCAGTCCACCTCTCCTCTCCTTCTTCCTAGTGTGGAAGCTCCTCTGAAACCTGTCGTCCATGGGTGATTGTGCTGGTATTTAAATTACCAGTGGCTTAGCTGCCTACCAGCCTGCTAGCAACATGCCTGCCGCCTCAGGACAAACTGGCACATGAGCAGTGGCTAACATCATTAAATGGCTACATAACCACTGAGAGTCGTTACCCAGCCAAGTTTACACATGTTTGGGGACACAATTCAGTCTGTCACAGAGAGTGAGAATGGTTACATAATATGGTGCTCTGTATGTTCCTAACATAACAGCAAAATACATTTTAAAAATTTAAAGTTTCTAGTTTAAGATATGAAAGAGCCTCAGAAAGTTTGTGGAAAAATGGAATTAACAGAGAATGGAAAGTTTCCACAAACTTTTTGACACTTCCCTTGTATATGAAAGAATTTAGGGCATGTTTACCTTAGCTAACTGAATAGATGTATAATCTAACTTCCACTGGGTAGTTGACAGTTTAAATAGCTTTAAAATTTATGGGAAGAAAAGCAAGTTGGTTAGATCTCGTGTTTCTGAAATAGGTTCAATATTTAGTCACTCAAACAGCTGGAATCCTTCACAAAAAGTTGACCAGATGAGGAAAGGTACGTCTCAGGGTGAGACTATGGAAGTCCCATCCGCAATGGACAGCTCTCCCCAGTGGATAAGATTCGTACATGATCTCAGTTTGGTCATTCTGCAGTTTGGTAAAGAAAGATTCCTCTGAAACAAATTCAGCTGAATTGGGTTATTTATAGGTCTGCTCACTTAATACTAATCTTTAATGAATTTTTTTTTGAATATTTATCAATGGATCTGATTTTAGCACTGCATACATTGTTTACCTTAAAGCACTTTTATGTAGAATGTATTTCTTATTAATATCCTTCCATCAAATTTCACATTCTCCAGTTAAAAGCAAACTGTTCAGATTACTATTTCTTTTCATAGATGTTCCTAATCTTCATAAAGAATATTTAAATATCAGAGAAGGCAGAGTACTTCCTCCCTTGCTCACTAATTTTAGGCTTTATAAACTAGAGGCAGTCAGCTGATTCCCGTAGTAGATGAGGAAGGCAGTGCTCTCCCTCCAGGAGCTTTAGCAGAGCTGACGCTTGATGCTCTCTCAGTGTTGCGTTCTTGTTCCAGTCGGTGCTAGACGAGATGATGGTGGAACAGACAGACCTTGTGCGTTTGCGAATGGTTCGAATGTCCAACGTGCCAGACACACTTTACATGGTCAGTAATGCCGTGCCCCAGTGTTGTCACATGGTTAGCCACCAACAGATCAGCAGTAACCAGTCCAGCCCGCCTTCAGTCGTAGCCAACGAAATTCCAGGTAAGGCAGTAGCTCTGCATCAGGCATTTCTATTTGGATGAATAATGTGACTGTTTCTGTGGTTGCCGATGCTAATCCTCTCCACATTTCAATGCCTTTTCCTCTACTTACAAACAGCGTTTGGTTTTGCTTTTTTTTTCTCATTAAGAAGGGTACAAAGTTCTTGGGTTCAGAGCAGTTTCCTAGGCCTGGTCCATTGTCACTCCCAAGCCCGTTGCTGTCTCGTTGGTTCTGGCTCAGCACAGCCCTGTAGGCTAGAGTAGGACTGGCCGTGAAATCATTAGGGAAGCAGAGTGCTACAGCTTTCTCCTGCAGAACAGAAGGTGACCTCAAAACAGACCTTTCAATCGGCAGCCAAGCACTTAACCACTCACTGTACCACCAGGCTCTTTTGTGGAGAGCTGCCATGTGCATTGTAGTATGTTCAGCAGTGTCCCTGGCTCATACTCACCAGAAATGTTTCCAGACTTTGCAGTACGCCCTATAGGGCGAAATCATCCCGCGTTTAGAAGCGCTGCTTTAGCAGAACTCAGAATTCTCGTCACCCTCAGGTGTTTCTCCCATGAAGGCACCTGTTGAGAAGGTAACTTCTTTGAATGGGTGCCCATCCTTGCCCGGAGACTCAGTTCCCAAGCTCTCTGTGACATTTGCTGTCATGTGGCTTATTCCTGCCGACAGAGGTGTAATGGTTACGTCCTAAAATTCCTGAGCCAAGAGACTCTAGTGTCAGCTTCTAAGAGAAGAAAACTCAGCAGTGATCTGAAAATTTAGAGCTTTCTACTTACCAATACAGGAGTCCTGGTGTGGCGCTCCAGGGTAAGCACTAAACTGCAAGGTCATCATTTCAAACTCACCAGCCGCTCCTTGGAAACCCTAGACAGGGTCACTATGAGTCAGAATCGACTCAACGGCACTTAATAACAACATCAATACCTTAGCATTACAAGATTCAGGAAAAAAAAAGGGGCAATATTGGAAGCAATACCATTTCTCTTCTGCTTATAAATGTCTCTTGCAATTAAGGATAAATAAAAGATAATCTAAACCTAGACAGAACTTTTCATTGAACCATGTACATTTTAATCTGGTGCTGATGTCTTTAATCAGTTGTCACCTTGTCAGATTTGACCCCTTCATGTTTACTTAACATCGACAGTGAAAACCAGTACATAAGAGATGTAATTCTTCAGCTGTCTTGTACAAATTTTGTACCTTTTTGTTTATAGGCTTGAAGTTAGTATAATTAATCAAACATTAGTTAATCCTAGAAGGGAGTTTCAAAACCCAACGATATGCACAATCACGAATGCTCAGAAAAATTCACCTTGTCTTTCTAGTTCAGCTAATGAAACGTGGAGTGGTAGCTTGCTAGGTTCCTTGCTCTCTCTCGCCCACCACCCTCAAATGCAGGCTGGAGAGCTTATTGAAAAGGCTTGGGGACTCCAGTCCTGGCTCTGCCTCTCTGTTTGTGTGACTTTGTACAGGCAACTGGCCTCCTTAAGCACTCCTTTCTTCGTCTCCTTGTCTGGGAATTGGGGTTAGTATCTCCTTTCTAGGGCTGATGTGAGGAGTTCAGGAAGCACCATGAGTCATACGCCTAGGAGTCTGCCTGCATAAAGTAGACACTCAGTAATCAGTAGTGTCGTCCCCCCAAAAAGAATACTCACCACCCTAGTCAGTTCACCTAACAAAGATTCATCGGCTTCGTTCCCACTTCTCCAACCCTGTTCGTACAAGCCTCAGCCCAGACTCAGCCTCCTCACTGCTGTCCTGCCACCCATCTTAGCACATTCTGTTCTCTGCTTCAGAGGCTGACAAACATTCTGTGTAAAAGACCAGATAGTAAATATTTGAGACCTTGAGGACAGACAATACTGTGTTCACCACAACTGCTTAACCCTGCGATGGAAAGGAAGAAACAGCCAGACAATACCGAAGCAAGATGTGGCTGTGTCCCGCCGTACTTAGAGAAACAGGTGGCAGGCTAGAATCTGCTGCAGGCCACAGCTTGCCTACGCCTGCTTTTCACTACTGCCAGAGTTCTCGCTAGGCCACAGCCCTGCATACAGGACACAGTTCAAGCTGCTCATCACAACCTCGTCTCTGCCCCTGTTATGAGGTGCAGCGACCCCACAAGACTCCAGGAACGCCAGGATGAAAGTGCCCGGCCCTTCTCCATCCTTGTAATCATTGCTGGGTTTGTGCCCATTGTTGCAGCCCTGAGTCAGTCCATCCCACTGAGAGTCTTCCTCTAGTTCACTCTGCTCTACTCAACATTTATATCCTTCGTTTCCCTTCCTGCTCCACCTTCGGAATCCTGAGCTGTACCATGCCAACAACTTGTCTCTCACTGCAAAGGCTTCGCCCTACTTTCTCGGCCAGGCTGGTTTCCTCCTGGCATTCTCCAGCATCCCACTCAGGATTCCCCTCATGGAAGAACCTTTCCTGCTGGCACCTAGTCTGGACTGGGTGCCCGTCCTCCACATCCCCTCTGTACCCTGTCCTAACTTACTCTTTGAGGACAGAGCCCTCAAGGCTACTTCCTAACACAAGACTCAGAATTGATTTCAGTAAAAGAGTGACTAGATCTTCAAGGCTTAGGAAATACTCTGAGACTCGAAAGAGAATACATGCAAATAACATTTGGTGAGGAACCAGAACCTATGCTCCAGAACTGTTTGTTAGGGTCAACCCAGAAAAATAGCCCAATGTCTGAAGCCACTGCCCTGAGACATCTTTAAAACTTAAACCAAAAACAGCCCCTGAAATCTTCCTAAAACCAAACAACAGCTTAGCTTACTGAATTTAGAAAGTTCTGTCAGGAGCATTGTGCTCTTTCCAGAACACTGTGGCTGGGGTGGGGAACCTTAGTTCTGCCAAAATTTAGAAAGACTTGGTCAAACATTTAATGAACTCGCCCCTAATGTGATGATGGGAGTACTGGTATGGGGCCGTAGGATAAGTATTTAACCATCAGGGCGGTTCAAACTCACCACCTGCTCCTTGGAAACCCTGTACCGGGTCACTAGGGTCACCGTGAGTCAGAACCAACTCTACAGCACTTAACAACAACAACAACAATGTAATGGCTGGAACTGCAATTGCCTTGGCAGGGTCAAACTAAATGATTTTGGAGGCCTTTTAAGGCCCGGGAGCAGACCTTCCTCTCTACGGAATCAGAGTAACAGCAGCTAGGAGGGCTACATAGGAAGCTTAGGGGGCATGAGTCTGTGTGAATGGGACGGGGAGGACAGAGTGGCTGCACGGCCCAAAGACTGCACATGTAGAAACTGTTGATTGAAGTGTATATTCCCAGCAACAAAATACAGTTTCTAAAACAATAATTTGTTGTTGCTAAGTGCCATCAAGTGAGTTACAACTCATAGTGACCCTGTATAGAATTTCCAAGGAACAGCTGGTGGGGTTTATCCGTCAACCTTTTGGTTAGCAAGCAGTCCAATGCTTATCCTACAGAGCCGCCCCAGGACTCCTAAAACATTCTCTCGATGTATATCAGTTAACATGTTGCCAGGAAGTTGCAACGCTTTCAAAAATCATGTGTGTTCTTGCGGTGCTCTTCTGTGTAACTTGTGTCTTTTGCCTCCTCACGGCCTTGCTCTCTGCAGTCCCACGTCTGCTTATTCTGAAAGACATGGTCAAGCGCCTGCAGGAACTCCGACACACCGAGCAGGTGCAGCGAGCCTACGCACTCAACTGTGGGGAGGGCGCCACCGTCAGCTACGAGATCCAGATTCGTGTCCTGAGAGAGTTTGGTCTTGCCGATGCTGCCGCAGAGCTCCTGCAGGTAGGGAGCAGCGTTAAGCTGTGTTTAAGTCCGGAGAACTTCAGTCATTCAGAGCCGTCTGTTGGGCTTTATACACTGGCTCAGCTGCTGATTGGTAACTCGGAGCAAGTTACTGAACCACCTGAATGTGCGCTTCCTTACCTGTAAAGTGGATTGTCTTGAAGCTAAGGAGCTGTGTGTTCCTATAAAGGTTTACTGTCTCGGAAACCCTAAATAGGGCCTCTGTGAATCGGAAGCAACTTGATAACAGTGGGATTTGGTTTGTAAAACAACTGTGTATAATAAGCATATACATTTCTGTTGTTGGTAAGTGCCGTCAAGTTGGTTCCAACTCATAGCAACCCTGTATATGGTTTCCAAGGAGTGGCTGGTGGGTCTGAATGCTGGCGTTAGAGTTAGCAGTCCAGTGCTAATCCACAACACCACACCAGGACTCCACGTACATGGTGGCTACTCAAAGTTCCGTTACACAAATGCCTGACAGAGAAAGTAGAAAATTCTCACACTCTACTGACCCTCACCCTGATTGCAAGTTTGGGCTTCCCCCAGACTGCTAAATCTTTCAGATAACCCTCTTTTGTTTTTCTCCTTCTCCTTATGCAAGAAATTTTTTGCATGAGGTCTCAAGGCATGTGAGCATGAGAATCAAGGGGATACGTGTTGCTGTTTAGCGTAGTCAATAAAAACATTCGTTTCTAACGATGAGGTGCAGATGCCAGAGCATGGCTTTGCTAGTTAAGGTGGGTCTATAAAGTGGTCTGGTCATAACCACTAAAATAAAACTGAATTTCATCGGCCAAATGATTGTCTTACAACCAACTCTGACTTCCTTCGGCCTATATATTCAAAAGGGTTTATTGTTCTTAAGCAAGACAGCAGGCCACGTTTAAGTTCCCGGTGCTCGATTTTGTGCTGTGGTCTCTGTAAAGATATGGAGTCTGGGTTTCTATTTATATCCTCTTTCACATTCTAAATTGTATCTTAATTTGATACCTTAATTTGTATAAACATTTTATTAAGTATTTTCATATAATATTCATAAAAATATGAGTCCCCCTTAGTCATGTATAATGTGGAAGGAGTATTATTTTGTCATCTTTACTTCCACCTGAGAGTGTTCAGATACGTGTCAGAAGGCATTTTGCTGTTTCATAGTTCATGTTGAGTTTTTTTAATAGTTCATTTTATTTTCATAGGAAAGACATTTGAATTAGGCTTTATCCTTTGTTTTTGCACCCTCACATAATTGTGCAAGAGATTTCTGATCTGCTTACTAGTTATTAAGGAATTTTGTTCCCCGGATTTCTGACCTAGAAAACTATGTTATGTCCTTTACTGTTGCTGAGTGGGGTTTTTCTTAGGTTGCTCACCTGAATCTCTCAGCTTGTAAATTTCCATCTCGGAAAGCTGCTAATTTGCTTTTTGTTTTTTCAACTTGTTCCTAGAATCCACACAAGTTCTTTCCTGATGAACGTTTCGGGGATGAAAGTCCACTCTTGACAATGAAACAGTCTGGACGATGTCGGGTTAACAGCACCCCAACCGCAGAAACCATGTTTACAGATCTGGACTCTTTTGTGGCCTTCCATCCACCTTTGCCCCCTCCTCCACCTCCATACCACCCCCCAGCCACCCCAATCCATAACCAACTCAAAGTGGGCTGGAAACAGAGACCTCCCAGTCAGCCTCCTTCACGGTCCTTTTCTTATCCCTGCAACCATTCCCTGTTTCACTCCAGAACCCCTCCCAAAGCTGTCCCTCCCCCCGTCTACCTGCCAAGTGTGAAAGCAGCGCCCCCCGATTGTACGAACCCTGCAGGACTGGGGAGGCAGACAGTGGCTGCCGCCGCCGCCGCTACCACATCCACAACCACAGCAGCTGAGAAACAAGCGGTAAGGCAACACTTCAGTCGTCACGTCAACTCTGATCACGGCAGCTGCCCTCAGGATCATTCCTGTGCTTGGTTGTGTCCACTGTTGGTCTGTGTCAGCCCACCTCATCAAGGGCTCCCTTGCTTTCACTGACTCCTCTTTACCCAACCTGGTGTCGCTTTCTGGTGACACGTCCAAAGTGAGTGAGTGACAGTCTGGGCGTCGCTGCTTCTAAGAAGCATCCTGGCTGTGTCTCTTCTCACAGTGGTGACCCGTCCTTCTGGCAGCCCATGGTACATTCAGTCTTCTTTACCACCCCATCATTTGAAGCATCTGTTCTGTTGTCTTCTTCCTTTCTTGTCCACATTTCACATGGAGATACATCGTATCAGAAGCAGTCCTTTGGCCCTTCATCCACTGGGATTCAGCAGTGTCCAGAAGTGCTTCTGACAAGCGGAAGCCATAGACTTGGGAGAGAGTGTGAGTGTAGTTGAATGAGAAGCAAGAGTCGAGGTGTGTGCAGTTGGAGTAGTGCTGTGCCTTCCGTATCCTTGTTTTAATTGCACATGATAGGTAGGGACAGTGCCCACCCACGCAGTGGACAGCCTAAATGGAGGCAGCAGTGACACGGTGCTGTGTTTACCTCCATGCCTGGAATCTGTGCCTAAGTTCTCGTCTGCTCTTCTCTAGATTCCACTGTCCTACAGAATGCATTGTTGGGACCAAGAGGGACATTTCTTAGGCCAAGTAGACTATCAGTGACAACACGGCAAAGACTCCCATGTAGAAAATGAGCAGAAGGTTCGTCCTCTTGCGTTTCTCTGCCTCCAGCAATCACTTTGCCAGAGCACTGGTTTGCCGCTGGTCTCCACAGCCAGTGCTGGGAGACACTCATTCACCAGAGAACTGTCCCCACCTGACTCTACATTAGCGGTGGGATTTCTGTATGATATAATGCAGTTGACCAAAACAATGATTTTAAGTCTGGAGAAGGATACCATGTTTGGTATGGTGGAGGGTCAGAGAAAAAGAGGAAGACCCCCAGCGAGATGGATTGGCAAAGTGGTAGCATCAATGGGCTCAAGCGTGGCAACGATAGTGAGGTTAGCCCAGGATCGGGCAATGTTTCATTCCGTTGTGCATAGGGCTGCTATGAGTCGGTACCGACTCGATGGTACCTAACAACAACAACGCGGTTGCACACTGAAAGTCGTGTTCGCAGTACAGGGGACACACAAGACAGATGTCGAAGTTTCATTAAGATAGGGCTTATTGGAAGCTCTGGCATGACGCACACCTCAAGTCAAACTCTAACTCCTCTTCACTGTCTAATGCCCCCTCCCCACTATTTTAAAGCTCTCCTCCTAAATCGGGAACCACAAAGAGTGACCATGTGTGATAACCAGACGCCTCAGAGTCTACAGTTCCAAATGTTGTATTACTTTGTATTTTTAATATAAAACTCACTTTATAGGGAATTTATTTGTATGTTCATGATAGTCTTGATCATTAAAAAAAAAAAAAAAAAAAATTGTAAGTATCCTAAATGTCCAGCAGTAGGAGACTGGTAAGTCACAGTTCACCAGTACAGTGCAATGTTACAGCGTAATTTTAAATGATGATTGATTTACATACGCACTGTAATTTGTGGAAGTTAATACACATGCAAAGAACAAAAAGGTACAAGGAAATATCTCAGAATGTTAATAGTCGTGTTCTCTGGGGGAAGTTAGGGGTGATTCCTTTATTCTTTTACAGTTTTCTGCATTTTTCAGTTCTTAAAAATAAGCATGTATGACCACTGAAACTGTTACCCTGAGAGAATCTTTAAACCATAAAAACCAAAATGTCCCCTGAATTCTCCTGAAAATTGAAACTAGTTTAGCTGAACTAGTAAAAGAGGTCGGCCTTAAGCATTATGTTCTTTGACAAAGTACTTACATGGGATCAAACTGACAATCACAACTGGAACTATTAGCCAGGAACCTTGGGGGCCATGAGTTTATGTTAACAAGGGAGGAACCGCCCAGGGAAGGCTGGGGGCTGGTGGCACCTGTCAAGGAATGCAGTCAGTGGTCCCAGATTGTGCCTGCAGAGACTTGAATCGGTGTGTGTGTTGTTTTGCATATTCTCAACAAAACACAAATTGAAAATAGACAAGGCAGATAAACTCAGCACTGATCTGTTTAAAAAAGGAAAAATAGGGATATTACCATTATAGTCAAAATCCATGAGCACTATTTTTACAAAGAGGGATTCATGGGTATTTTTAACTCTCCTCTCCTACCCTGTTTTTCTTTTCCTGTTTGTAGTGTCCTCAGCCTGTGCTGAATGACCTAATGCCAGATATTGCCATGGCCGTGTCCACATTGTCACTCAAGGACAGGAGGCTTCCCGAACTTGCCGTAGACACAGAATTAAGTCAGTCTATCTCTGAAGTTGGACCGGGGCCACCCCAGCATCTGTCACGTGTTCCACAGAGGCACACGCACACCTCTCAGAAGAAACACACGCTAGAACGGAAACCAGATCCAAAAGGAAATCTACAGGAACGCCAAGATTTCTATGGCTTCTCAAGCACAGCTTGTAGACCACCTTCTCCTGCTCCCAGCAGACGTAGCCCTCCCCCGCCCCATGGTGGATATCTGGGGCCCGATTTGTACAGCCACAGTAAGGCATCACCAAGTGGCTTAAAGTCAGCCCACCCATCTAATCAGACATCCCCTCAAAAACAGGAAGAATCTAGGAGAGAACACCCGCTGCCCCCCGATGGGCATCTATACAAACAGAAGAAGGGGCCTATCCACCTGGATGTGGTCGAACAGCCTCCCCAGCAGTGCGAAAACACTGGGACTGGGTCAGCCCACGGCAGGGGGCAGACAGCAGGAGAAACAGACTTGACTTTTGGGCTGACTTCTAACAGACCTTCCCATCCCGCATGTAATGCTGAGACAGCAGAAGAGAGGTCTACTAGGAGACTGGCAGACAGTGAGTCCCTGGGCCACGGAGCCCCGAGAAACCCGGATTTGGAGAGAGAGGATTCCGGAAGCAGAGGAAGAAGATCACCAAACAAGCCCGACTTCCTCTACAAAAAGTCTGCCCTCTGACAGCAGCCTCCGCGTCGTCTGTGCCTGAGATGTGAGACACCCCAGTGACGATGCGGCCCAGCAACTTACAGACCAGTTCACAATGCCAGCTGATAGCTCGGGCTCCCATGACCTTATCCTCGGTTTTGTACATATCTGTTTATTAGATACAGCATGCTAAGAGGGTTATTTTGAATGCTGCATCTGTCTCTCTTGTGTTTGAACACTTGTGTGGGGAAGCATTTTTAAGAGCAAACAAGCTGGCATTTTTTTCTCTTTACAAATGATGGAATTTTTTTGTACTTGTACATTTATTTTATCTGTATTGGTTTTATATTTGTCTGCTAAACTATCGGCACATTTAAAGGACTGTATTTTCATACTTTTTTGCATTTTACCTTTCATCTGCCGATTCCTGTGTGCATTGGATTGCACACTCAGATGTATTTTCTTATGAAATAGTTCTGTGTTTATTTTTTAATTATAGAAATTCCAAAGAACAGCACATCAAAATCTTCCTCTCTTTTTCAGTCATAATTTGAGTTCCGAACCCTTCCTGCTCAATCTCCATTAATCTAATGTCTTTTCTTTTTCCGTCCGTGTCGGGAGCTAGTGTCCATTCCTCTGGCGGGAGTCCACACAGGATCCTGACCTTTCCTGGTTCCGTCAGGCCCGCGGGAGGAGAACCGCCTCCGCATCCAGGTGCAGCGGGTTGATTTGTCCACAGTGTGGACACTGTGCTGGAACCACTAAGGGGTCCTGCAGTGAGCCTCGAGAGAGACCCAGTGTCAGCTCCCAGAGCAGGGGGACTAGCAGACCCCCGGGGTGGCCACCTGGATTTCCTGCTGGCCCAGGTGGAAGGAGGCCTTGCCACCTTCTGTTGTCTTGCTCTCTGTGGGGGGAAAAAAAACCAACAACAAAGAACAAAAGGGCTTCAGTCTTACGGATGTCTTTGGGTGTTTGTAAGCTTATGTTTTCTTTCAGATGTCTTTCAAAGTATGTCCGCATTTTGGTGTCCTATAAAAAGTTGTTGTATAATGCATAATGCTTTGTCACCAAAAAAGAAAACTTTGATTTTTACCTCCCCAGTTACACACTACATGTCCTACTTGAATTTCCCTGGGCTTGCTGGGCCAGACCTTTGTCTGAGCCACTTCAGCACAGGGGAGACTCACAGACCTTCTCCCTTGCAGGGCAGTGTGTGAGCTAAGGACTGTTTTTTTCTCTTACTCCCCACTGTAAATATATTTGTATTTGAGTCTGGAAATCACTTCAGCATTATTTGAACACTCACTGGTAGTTTTACAAACAGACCCAGCCGTAGCACTAGAACGAAAGAGACTTTCTGCACATTCTCTCTCAGGTGGAGGAGGTCAGGAAGTTCTTTTCCGTGTCTGTGTACATACATGTAACTGTAAGTCACACGCACTAAACTATGCAGGGCTCGGGAGCCTCTACAAGCTACCATATAAATAAATGAATCACATGCACTTTCAAGTAAATAGGTTTCTATCGGGTGTCACCAACTCTGATTTCTCCCCAAACTGTAGTCTCTCTTACAGTCTTTTCCTACTTCACCCTGTGGATATACACTCAGGAATAATCGGACATTTTCAGAAACCCTAACAGTAGATAGTCTCAAAGATGGGAAACACATCGGTAGCGCTACATACGCAGGCCAACCGCTGCCTCTCGTCCTGCCGCCTGACTAGTTCGCTGCTGCTCGCGCCTTCTCGATGCTGGTGACGTTGCGTACTGAGCTCCAGACCGTCCTGAGGGCGCGACACGCGAGTCTGCAGGACGGTGGGCTCAGCACCACCTTCAAGGCTCCTTTTGTAAAGAGAGCAAACCCTGAAACTCATGTTTTCATTCTTAGGTGGTTTGACTCTCACATTAATAGATAATAGTGTCTTTTGAAGCCCAGTCTCTGTCCTTAGAAGTTGCTCATGCCATCATATCGCTTCCTGTGTATTGATCTATGTTGACATGAATGGTGTTGATAAAGTTTTCAACCTCTATTCTCAATCAGACTTAACTGTGCTGGAACTATAACTAAGAATGAATAGATTTAATTTGAGGGGGCGAGAGGACTTGTTTATTTCTGACCTAGTTTATTAAAATTCTAGACCAGGGTTATTGATCCCACACATCTTTGGCCTAAAAATTTATTGAATATTCTTATCACTAAAATATAAAAATAAGGTGTCACTGTTCATAGTGTTAATTTGATTTATGACATTTGCATTTAAGAATTTAGTAGTGCACCTGGCTCTACACTCTATGTATAGGGGGAAACTGGCTTTAACCTGTGGGATAGTGGACTGATGTGATTTGCAGCAGATGAACAGATGTTGTTTCTGTGTGTGGTAAGGTAGCTGCTGGTGGACTTTTAACATATCTTGTGGCGTGTGGTTCGTAGGGTAGGTTGAATAGCAATGTGCCTCTGACTTTTGAACCCGTGAATTATACCTTTTTTGGGTTTGTTTGTTTTTTTTTTGCTATAGTAAAAGAAATGTGAGGTCTGAGTAAAGTTGCTTTCAGAATAATACTTATATATAAACAACTCTTAGGCCACCGGAGCTAGCATTTTACTGAAATAGAAGGAGAACCAAATCCCCAAACACCGGTCTCCTTCCGAGGCCATAGACAATCAGGCCGTTCTGACAATCCCCACTCTCAGTCCCCACTGTGCGTTGAGGTGGGAGGACTGCCCTGTCCATTCTAGGGTAGAAAGAGAGTTCAGTTTCTTGAAGATGCTGTTGGTCCTTTTCTGACAGTTTTCAGTTTCATGATTTTGGTGTCTGACTTCAGTCGCCCTGTGGCTCCTAAGGAAAGTAGCTGCATGCACGGTCAGAGCTCCTGAGGTAGAGGTCTCAGTGCTTCGGGTCGCCTGCCCGCTTCACATGTTTCATGTGGCTGCTGCTAGGCACACATACCGTAGACCTCGGCTTCGGTAACCAGCTGGATTGCAGTGATTTGTAATGAGTTTACCGCATATTGGTCTTTATGAAGAACTCTCTGTGAAACTTCACCCCAATGCTAGTTTGAGCTTCCTTTAACAACTCTTTGCCTGTCTTACCATTTCCACCTTTCTGACTAGCTGCTCGACTTCTAGCAATAGGAGCCCTTTGTGTGCAGTCAGGTTCATGCTAAGGGGAGGTGAACTGTTAACGTTTCTCACCAGCTACACCAGGCCAAACATATGTCTTCTCATTTGCCTTTTAGGGAAAAGTGTTTCGTGGGACACAGGATACTTTTTTTGTAATTCTGAAGAATTTGCGTGTTTGTGTTGGGACTGAATTCAAAGGGAAATACCTATTTGACTTTTGACAAAATGATGTGAGTGTCTTTCCGTGTTCTGTAGTTATTAAAACCGCCACGATGGGTGCTAGCTAGTCCGGGTTCTGCAAGGGTTTACTTTGTCTACAAGGAATTTACTTTCAGACCTCATTACAGATCATCTGACTAAAACAATTACCATGCACACTACTCAAAGGTGTTCTCCGAGTTTCCATGAGCACTGTTGTATGAACAATGGTTTATGGCATAGTAGGTTGTCTTCTTGTCCTACTGCAGTGGTTGTCATGTAATTTACATATTGATTGGCAAGTCTTGATTTCTCCCCCTCTAGAAAACCCTAAGGGAGTGTGTCAACCTCCCATATTATGAATATTAGGTTGGTGTGGCCATTTCTGTAGGAAAGATACTTGCAAGTATGTGTCTTGAATGCACCCTCTCGTGTTTGTGTGTCTCTGTGGGTCCTACGAGACCAGACCTCTCTGGACGTCTCCCTGTGTGAGATGGTCTACACATGGCTGAGAGTCTGGGCTAATTGGGCTGGGGGCTCGGAGTCCTACTCTCAGGTGGGGCTGACAGGTCAGAATTCCTGAACGTCACTCACTCTCTATGTACACATCCGCCCATCAGACGGGGGGCATGTCCTCCAACCCTGCATTTCTTGTGGTTGTGCTGTTACTGGTATAAAGTCAAGTGCCTTCCGTGCTAAAGGCTCAGAAATTTTTGTTATACTGATTTCATGTCCTATGCAAGTGTTTTCTACAACCTGCATAACCAGTACTTTGTAAAACTTGTTTACGCTTCAATTGTACATAGTGTTTTTTAAAAGAAATCTATAGTATTTTTATTTAGGTACCTCCAAACTTGAACTCGTCCGTGTGAAGCATTGTAAAGCGATACATATCTCTTTTGAGTACCATGACAGTTGTACAAAGGTTTCCACTGGTTCTATTTTTCTACTGTTTCCCGAGAAGCATGTAACACTGACTCGACCCTACATCTAGTTGGCATTTCAAATAAATGGCTTGTATAGAACCTGCTGCGTTGGATGCTGTCTGTCATAGCAGCGGAGGAGACACCCTGGTCCCCGTGGGGGGAACGGGGGAGGGGAGGAGGGAGGGCGGGGAGAGAATTTTAAGCAGAATTTCTCTTATGCTTCTAGGATCTCAAAGGACTTTTTTTTCTTTTTCACGATGATTTTTGTGGAAATCGCACACATTGGGATATAGCCAAGAGATTTCATGTTACAGATTTGAGCTGAAAGTTCCCGGTTCAGGGGTCTGCAGAAAAGTCAGGCTTCCCACCCACGGGCCCTGAGCAATTGGTTGTGGGCGTGATGGGCCAGTCCCAGTGGTCACAGAGACGCAAGTCCAATTCTGAGCCCTTCTCTTCCAGATTGAGGCCCGGTGGTATTTTTCAGCCTGAGAGAGAAAATGGAGTCGTGACCTAGAGTCTACGCTTCTGGGGGAAAGGAAACATGCAAAACGGAAAGTTTCCTAATTTCCATTTCACAATGTCACCATAAAACAGTTCTTTTAAATCACGGCTTTCATCTTCTCTAACAAGTTGAGACTTTTTACTCTTCACGCCTGGGTAGGCATTTCTCTCTGTTTTGTAACCACCTTGTTAAACTGGAGGATCAAGGAAACATGGGCGAACTGCTCAAAAATCTGAACAAGAAAATCAGCTTTTATTTCTGTCCTGTTGGATTATCCCTGGAAAAACTGGAGCCCCCTAGCCACCTTGTCTTACCTCTCCTTAATGCATTAGAAATGTATTTTCAGTCCACTCAGTTCCAGAGAAGTTGCAGACAATACAGGATCTTTAAACTCTACATTTGCATAAAAGGCGATGACTTTTAACTTTAAAAATCAGCTGGAGGAGTTTTTGTGGCTGAGAGAAAGGCCAGGTTGGAATGGCCCAGAAATTAATAGGAATCCAGCAAGAAATACGCTGGATTCTGTGCTAAGCACAAACCTACCACTATCAATTCCATCCCATGTGTTCCCATAGGGGTTTCTTGGCTGTAATCTTTATGGCAGCAGATCACCAGGCGTTTCTTCCTCAGTGCCACCAGATGGGTTTAGACCACCAACCTTTAGTAACCCAGTGCAAACGACACCACCCAGACCACCTGTGCTAAACACTTGATGGTATTTTCCTTCAGTTCTTCAACAAATTAGTTATTACGTCCTTTGTCTTCTGTGTTCACAGTGTCATTAAACAAAGGAGAAAAGTGACCCCCAGCGGTAGTAACTTGTTCAAGGACACAGTGATGGGAAGCTGGCAGAGCTTGGGCTCACACCCAGGAAGTCTAGCTCCAGAGCCATGCGCTCCAGGGTGCATGCGGCAGTACAGGCAGGGGGTCCAAATGCGCAGAGCTGAGGTCCATTTCTCCAGCCAGCCAGCATTTTTTGGAAGATGTACTGAGCAGTT